ATAAAAAGAAATTAAACAAAGTTTACTCATCCTCTCTCAACCTCAGTGACCCTGAAGGAATGGAAATAGTAGAATGAAAAAGGTGATTCATAGTGACCCAAGAGTTTGAAGAAGAGTAAGTATAAGTGTGAGTAAGAAACACTGAGGGGATGGCCAAAGTAGCCTCTTTTTTTGAGAGCCTGCCTATGGTGGTGGTTATATGACATTGGTGACTGGAATCCCCGAGGGAGCTTCCCATCTAGCTTGGTTAAAAACAGGCTCTGGAAACAATCAGATTACCTGGGGTACAAGTCTAGGTTTTGCTACCATTTACTAGCTATAGACTCTTGGACAAATTCCTTAACTTCATTCACAAAATGAGAGTAATATGACTTCATATCTGTAATGTGCTGGGAAAAGGGCCTGGAACATTCTAAGGCCATAATCTATGCTTATTGTTATCATTATGTATTACCAAACCTGCTTCCAAGCCCATCTGAAAATCTGGGCCAAAGATAGAAGAGGAGGGGAATTGTTTTATTATGTTTGACCAGGTACTAGGGAGAACAACACATTTATGGCTTGAGTTGACAGTGGAAAATCCTTTTTCCTATACCTAAACCCAGCTTAGGTGTATGGTTATTAATGCATACATTCAAATGGTTATTAATGCATACTATCAAAATAGAGAGCAGTTCCCAGAATGTGCTTTTTAGAGAGCTTTCTGGTAGCCTTCACGAGATTAAAGTCTGGTCTCTGGCTGCTCTAATCAGCCTCTCTCTAAGTGGTAGGAACCAAGTTTTCCTGTTGTATCACCCGATCTGCAGCAGGAACCACAGTCCCACCCAACCCATGTCTTCAAATGCAGGATGACTTACAGACTCTGTTCCAAATGCTCCTATCACCAATAAGCATTGGAGGATCCTTTCTGGTCACTTTCCTGTGCCTTGGGTGATGTCCATTTCAAAGCTGGATTTGTCTTTGGGAGAGATACATCCTAGTGCTTTTTTTATTTTATTTTTTCAACGTTTATTTATTTTTTTGGGACAGAGAGAGACAGAGCATGAAAGGGGGAGGGGCAGAGAGAGAAGGAGACACAGAATCAGAAACAGGCTCCAGGCTCTGAGCCATCAGTCCAGAGCCCGACGCGGGGCTCGAACTCACGGACCGTGAGATCGTGACCTGGCTGAAGTCAGACGCTTAACCGACTGCGCCACCCAGGCGCCCCCATCCTAGTGCTTTTATTTTTTATTTTTTATTTATTTTTTATTTATTTTTTTTAACGTTTATTTATTTTTGGGACAGAGAGAGACAGAGCATGAACGGGGGAGGGGCAGGGAGAGAGGGAGACACAGAATCAGAAACAGGCTCCAGGCTCTGAGCCATCAGTCCAGAGCCTGACGCGGGGCTCGAGCTCACGGATCCCGAGATCGTGACCTGGCTGAAGTCGGACGCTTAACCGACTGCGCCACCCAGGCGCCCCATCCTAGTGCTTTTAAAGAGCAGGAGGACTTGAGGGCCAGCCCTTCTGGCTGCATGAAAATTTCAGGGTAGAAGTAAGGAGACAGACATTTCTTCATCAGATCATTAATCTTTCCAATGTTGTGTCAATCCTTTTGTCTTTTTTTAAAAAGTTTATTTATTTTGAGAGAGTGCACGTGAACACGCGCGCATGTGTGCATGGGGAAGGAACAGAGAGAGAGGGAGACAGAGGATCCCAAACAGGCTCTGTGCTGTCAACGCAGAGCCTGACAGGGGGCTCCATCTCACGAACGGTGAGATCATGACTGGAGCTGAAATCAGGAGTCGTATGCTTAACCTACTGACCCACACAGGCACCCCAATCCTTTTGCCTTTAGTACGGTTGCAGTGGACCACTCAGGAGGTATCACATAATTACCAGCACTCAAGGGAAAAGTAGAGAGGGATTTTGAAGAGAATTTCCAACGGCAATTAATTAACCTGATACCGATAAATTCTGAAGGCCATAGTAATCGGGAAAGAAAAACAGTGATCTGGGAGTCTCTGACAATGCTAACGGAATCATGCTGCACAAAAACTTTCCCCTGCTTCCGGATTTTTTTTTATCTGTGTCTTTTGTACAACCACCAACACTACAGGCAACACAGACACAATGACTGGGGAATCTGGCGAATTTCCTAAGTCCTTCCAAAGCGCTCAGGAATCATTCCTTCTCATTGCATTTCAGGGAGGAATCAAATATGCAAGCTTAAAGCTAAAAACATGGGACTTGGCGTCTGTAGGTAAAACAGGAAGAAGCACCATGACCTTGGTCATGCCACCAGAACAATTAGAAATAGTCTTCACCTGCCCAATTTGAGAAAAGGACTCGACTCCCACTTATCTTCTGCGCAGTGAGAGGCTAATGGGAAACGAGCTGTGGGGAAGGCTTCCATGGCCTCTGAGTAGGCTCCTCTGCTCGGTGCGGTGCCCTTGGCAACACAACAGAAGGCTGCGGGGGCTGGGGGAGGCCAGACTGAGAAGAAAAGAATGGCATGAAATACGATGCAGCTGCTGAACTTTCTTTTCATTAACTTTAAATTATATCAGTTTTTAGACTTTTGGAAACTTACTGAAAGGGGGAAAAAAAGTAAGAAGACAATCTGTCTGCTTTTAACCTAACTTGAATTGAGCAATAATAAAAGTAATTTAGCCAAGGGCAGAAAGACAGGACCACTGCCGTCCCTGCTCCCCCTCTTCCAATCCCCTTTAGCTAGAAGTTTCCATTTCAGCTCTCCCCGTCTAAGACAAGGAATACACAGCTCCAGAAAGGAGGCTGTCCCTGCAGCTGTCTCCTCTGCCTGGCCTTACAAGAGTGACTCAGCAAAGCAGCCCCTTCCAGGGCGGGAACAGGGCAGGGCATTTGTTAAAAGGCTGTAGAAGTGCGTACCATCTTTCCAGCTTGCTTATTCATGCTGTCCCGAAGCTATTAGAAATGGCCATAGCACCTGGATCATTAAATTATTTATGTACTCCATATTGCAAGAGTCTTTTGGGGAAGAAGTGACCAAAAAGAGAGACCAGCTGAGACTGGTGTGAGTGGGTGGGCATATATTGGGTGGAGGGACAGGTATTAACATTCACCTCCAAATCCCCCAGTGTTCAAGATCCTAGCACTCTAAGCCCTTCCCTGATGTTCGCCATGAGATACCTTTTGTTATAACTGGAGCCATGAATGTTCTGAGCTTCTCCAGAACACCTGTACCTCTTGGCCACAGGATAAAAAACAAGGAAGTGAAGAAGGGAAGGGAATGGAAAAAATTCAATACTCCAATGCACATTTATCGAATACCTACTTTGTGATAGTCCTCGTTTTAGGAGCTGGATGTATAGGGATCGGTAAATCTTACATTCATGTGGGAAAAACAGACAATGAAAATATAAGTACGTGAACAGAACATTTTAGGTAGTGGTGAGTATTCTGAAGAATAGTCTTATTGGAGAGAGTAAAGGGGCAGGGTGATACTGGGATGATAAGGGAAGTCATCTTTTGGGACATGCCATTTGATCTGGGACCTCAGTAATGGAAGCAGCGAGGCATGCAATGACCTGGGTAAAAAGCCAGTCAGAAGTGACAGCAAGGATTAATGCCCAGGGATAAAGTTAGGTGATCAGGAGAACAGAGAGAAGACAAAGGCAACTTAATAATGGTATTGGAGGGACAGGCTGTGACCAGATAGGTAAGCTGGGGTCAGATCACAGAGTGGCTTGTAGGCCACAGGAAGAGTTCGGGAGCCACTGGAGTGTTTGTAAGCAGTGGAGTGACATGATGTTTACCCCGTTTCCCATTTCCATATACATAGGTACTTACATACAAACACAGGGAAGGTATGTGGCTAGGGTGGAAATTGAGTTTGGGTTGTGGAAATATTTTACATTTTTATAATTGCATGCCACTTCAGATTTGATATTTAGAAGGGCAAACAATTTCAGGGGGGTCTGCATGGTTCAGTTGAGTAGGCATCTGACCATTGATCTCAGCTCAGGTCATGATCTCATGGTTTGTGGGATCAAGCCCCACATCAGGATCTGCACTGACAGCTCAGAGCCTGCTTGGGATTCTCTTTCCCTCTCTTTCTGTGCCGCTCTCCCACTCATGCATGCACCCTCTCTCTTCCTCAAAATAAATAAATAAATTAAAAAAAAAAAAGAAGGATGAACAATGTCAGCAATGCAAAAGGAAGGGCTAGGTTGGAAAATAAGGCAAGTGTTTTCTTAAAGCCCTTTTATGAAATTAATACCCCAAATGAAACAACATCATCCACGCAGGTCATGCTGGACATTGACCTTTCAAAGCCAACTAACTCTTAAGACATTTTGAATTAACTAGAACAGAGACAGAGCAGGGAAGAGAAAGCTGGTTATCTTTCTCACTAAGTCTGCAGGACTTACCCATTAGAGAAGGCATGACTTGGTTTAAGAAACCAATAACCAGGGGCACCTGGGTGGCTCAGTCGGTTAAGCGTTCAACTTCGGCTCAGGTCATGGTCTCACAGTTTGTGGGTTTGAGCCCCATGTCAGGCTCTGTGCTGACAGCTCAGAGCCTGGAGCCTGCTTCAGATTCTATGTGTCTCTCTCTGCCCCTCCCCTGCTCATGCTCTCTGTCTCAAAAATTAAAAAAAAAATTAAAAAAACATTAAAAAATGTTAAAGAAACCAATAACCGGTAGTTTACAAGTGCGTGGTTTATCCATATTTGCACAGAATACCAGGTCTCCCTCTGAGATCCAGACGAGAACCTTCAGTTTTAGCCACTTGTTTAACCACGATGGTATCTCTTTGTTCCAGGACATTGGAACCACCCTGGAAGATCCAGTCAATGAAAGAGCTTGGACAAATAAATGTTTTGGGGTGTTGACCTATGAAGCTTCTTCAAATATTCCTTTTCTATTTGGCTTACATTTTCTTCCTTCCTTCCTTTCTTTCTTTCTTTCCTTCTTTCCTTTCAAGAATTTTAAGAACAGGAAAGGAAAATATGAGGGAAAGGGGACATAATTTTTATTATGAACTCTGTGATTATGTCTAACATGGCTAAAATTACATAATATTATTTTTGTAAAAGGATGGAGTTTTAAACACCTAGTGATTAGAGGCATTCTTCAGACTACAAGTAAACAGAGACTGCATACCCACAAAATATGTACAAAAGTGAAACAAATACCTTTTTTTTTAAACAAAGTTAACATCTGTAGAAAATTGATGGACTTGAACAGAGTAGCTACTAACAAAGAATAAATGAAAACATAAGTTACATGTAGATATGTTCTTATTCAGCTCATCATATTTATCCCCTGGTGACTTAAAGACATAATGGAAGACAAAATGTTTTAAAAGAGTAAAAAAACCAGAGGTCAAATACTAAATAAGATGGAGTATATATAAAATAGTAAGAGAAGCTACTATAATTAAGCAAACTACATAACTCTGAAAAATGTGGATACTTTCTGCCATCCTGTTTTACTTTGATAGTGTTTCCAGAGCCCTAAATCAATTAGATTTAAACATTTTATTTTTACCTCAGAGACAGTTCCTTCATTTGAATAGACATTGGGAAGTTAGCTCAGTGATTAAGAATCTAAAGAATGAAAGTATGAGAGACCGAATATTGACTCCCAAGGATATCCACTTCTAATTCCTGGATCCTGTGAATGTCACTTTATACAGCAAAAAAGGACTTTGCAGATATGATTAAATTAAGAATTTTGAGATGGGGAGGTTATCCTGGGTTATCTGGGCAGACCCTAATTTAATCACATTTTTCTCATAAGAGTGACAGAGGGATATTGACACAGAAGAGGAGAAAGCAGCGTGACCACTGAGGCAGAGAACGGTGTGAAGGGGGGCCACAAGCCAAGGAATGCCAACGGCTAGTAGAGCTGGAAGAGGCAAAGAATAGGTTTCTTCCTTGAACGTCAGGAGGAATGCGGCCTTAGTGACACCTTGGTTTTGATGTGGGGAAACAGATTTCAGACCAAGGCTTCTGACCTTCAAAAAATGTAAATGGGTATTGTTAAGACAGCCTTGGAAAACTAATATACTAACCAAGCAAGATAAGGATATAGTCACCCTTACTATTTCCTTAATACCACCTCTGTTTCCTGAATTGCGGTTTTTATCAGCCGTGCATTTACTTTCACATTTTCAAGGTTAATGATGTTTATATTCTGTTCTATCCCAGTACTAGAGGCGTTGCATGAGAATGGGGTCTGTAGCAGGTTGGGCACATTTGAACCTGGTCCTACTTAACATCAGCATATTAAGTTTGGGTAAGTAATCTCTCTATACCTGAATCCTCACCCATACTATAGAGACAGAAAAATAGCGCCCACCTCAGTGTTATTGTGGGGAATAAACAAGTCAGTGCATGTTAAGTGCTTACAAGTGTGATCAGCACATCATCATCCTCTTCATCAGCATTCAAGAAGTATTGCTATTTTTATTACTATGTTTACATTTTTGTGATTTGAATATATTTATTCTAAAAATTGAAAACCAACAAATTGCATTTACATAAGTAGGACTAAGTATTGTTCACAGCAGTGCCAAATTGTGTGTTAGTGTGAAATATCCTTATCTGCAGGCCCCATGTGATAACTTCTGGACTATCTGAAGGAAAATGTTCTTAGCATCAAGATCAAGTGGATACTGTTTTTTTTTCTTATATATACATCATCAGTTTCTCAAAATTTGTCGTATTTTACTTTACTTTGTATTGGACAATGGCTTTCTTATTATTCATTTTCTCATCTTTGATAAAAAATTATTTTTCACAATACCTCAAAATGACCCAGTATTTTAATAAGTCAAAAAATTTGATAAAAATCTACTTTCTCTTCAGCGGTATTTCTCAGCTCTAATCTGGACTACTTCTTAAAGCTGTGAAATAATGGTCCAACTGGGGTTTTATGGTAAATACTTGAACACTTTTTTTTTCTATTTGTCAGTAAAAATAAACCAAAAATAGCACATAAAGTACATTTTCCTGGAAAATTCTGTTGGTATGACAATCACATATTGGTAGTGGTTGCATGAGGCAGAGGGTCATCTTTGAAATCAGACACTCCTGAAGCCTAATCCTACCTATACCACGTCCTTTTTGTGGGAGTTGAGGCAAATGATGAACTTTTCAGAGCCCTGGTGTCCTCATCTTCGGAATGATGACAATAGTACATTGCTGATAATTCTGTACATGACAGATTAAATGACGTAATCAGTGTCGAGCTCCACCTGTTACATGGTAAACTTTTACTAAATGGGAGCTATAAGCACTCTCAACAATAGCCAAATTATGGAAAGAACCTAAATGTCCATCAACTGATGAATGGATAAAGAAATTGTGGTTTATATACACAATGGAGTACTACGTGGCAACGAGAAAGAATGAAATATGGCCCTTTGTAGCAACGTGGATGGAACTGGAGAGTGTGATGCTAAGTGAAATAAGCCATACAGAGAAAGACAGATACCATATGTTTTCATTCTTATGTGGATCCTGAGAAACTTAACAGAAACCCATGGGGGAGGGGAAGGAAAATTAAAAAAAAAAAAAGAGGTTAGAGTGGGAGAGAGCCCAAGCATAAGAGACTCTTAAAAACTGAGAGCAAACTGAGGGTTGATGGGGGGTGGGAGGGAGGGGAGGGTGGGTGATGGGTATTGAGGAGGGCACCTTTTGGGATGAGCACTGGGTGTTGTATGGAAACCAATTTGACAATAAACTTCATATATTGAAAAAAAATAAAATAAATGGGAGCTATAATCATTATTAGTCAAGAACTATAGCTAATCACCCTCTTAGCACTTCACTCATTTGAAGAAAATTATTTATTTTTAACTTATAAATTCTAGAATATAAAACAGTAATAAAAAGCATGTAAAATGTAAATGTCCAGTTTAATCATTAACAAAAAAGTGTTTCACAGATAACAAACACAGATTTTTAAAAAATGCATCGCCAGAATCCAAAAGCCCTCACTCTCCTTTCCCCTTCTACTTCTTCTCCTTCAAAAACGTTCCCTTCCCCTATACGGATAACTGCTATTTAATTTTAATTTTCACTTTTCTTAATTTATATGGCAAACACTTCCCCCTTTGTTCTTTTAGATCTACCACCTAAAGAGAGCTACCTCTAGCAAGGCTTAGATACCTTATAAGTTGCCCAAGAAAGTTTGCTACATTGATTGCATATTTATTGAGAGATATAGTGTGCAGAAACTATACAGAAACTAATAAAGTATTATACTATTTACTCTCTAGCAGCTTGCAGTGATGAAAAATAAAGCCATGCTCCCAGCTCCCAGCTTTCTTAATGCCCTTTGTTCCACTTTTCTATTGAGTCTAACAATATTTACTAGAAACAAAAGTAATGCTAGCAGTTGCCCTTGTCAGAATAGTTTTCAGGAGCGCCTGAGTGGCTCAGTTGGATGAGCGTCCGACTTCAGCTTAGGTCACAATCTCACAGTTTGTGGGTTCAAGCCCCGTGTCGGGGTCTGTGCTGATGGCTCAGAGCCTGGATCCTGCTTCCAATCTATGTCCCCCCCCCGCTTGTTTTCTCTCTCTCAAAAATAAACATTAAAAAAATTTTTTTAATTGTTTTCAAAGACAACTCTGTACCCACTCCCATAACATGAAAAAAGGGAAAATGGGAAGGGGCTTAATAATTATTGAGTACCTGCTACATGCCTAGCGATGTGCTAAAGATTTTCCACTGTACTTATTAATTGTTACACAATCTAATATGATAGATATTATTAATTCTATTTGAGTTGTAAGGAAGTTGAGGCAACAGCTAAGAGTCAGGACAATATAATGTTAAAAATGGAAAATGAAGAGACTTCCATGTCACTTCATCAGGAAAATATAATATGTAAATGCACCTAATAATAGAGTCTCAAACTGCATGAAATAAAATCTGATAAAATTGAAAAAAAGATTAGACAACTCAATAACCAAGGTTGGAGATTTCAAAACCTTATTCTCAATAATTGATAGAAGTACTAGACAAGAGGCACCTGGGTGGCTCAGTTGGTTAAACATCCGACTCTGGCTCAGGTAAAGATCTCGTTGGGGTGCCTGGGTGGCCCAGTTGGTTAGGCAACCGACTTCAGCTCAGGTCATGATCTCACGGTTCGTGGGTTTGAGCCCTGCGTCGGGCTCTGTGCTGACAGCTCAGAGCCTGGAGCCTGTTTCAGATTCTGTGTCTCACCCTGTCTCTGCCCCTCCCCTGCTCATGCTCTGTGTCTCTCTGTCTCTCAATAATAAATAAACATTTTTAAAAAAATTAAAAAAAAAAAAGATCTCATTGTTTTGTGAGTTCGAGCCCTGCATTGGGCTTTCTGCAGTCAGCGCAGAGGCTGCTTTGGGCTGTCCCCCTCTCTGCCCTTCCTCCACTCATGCTCTCTCTCTCTCTCTATATGTATATGTATGTATATACATACATATATATCAAAAATGAATAAACATTAAAAAAAAGAAATACTAGACAAAAAATTATCAAGAATATGGAAGACTTGACAACACTATCAACCAACTCAACCCAACTTACATATGAAGACATTCTGCCCAACAACTGCACAATGTACATTCTTTCAAGCACACATGGTTAGATCAGGATCATCCATATGCTGGAACCTAAAACAAGTCTCAATACTTTTGAAAGGGTTAAGGTCATACAAAGTATGCTCTCCAACAGAACTAGAAATCAATAACAAAGAGAAATCTGGAAAATTCCCAAATATTGGGAAATTTAAAAATGCAATTCGAAAATTAGAAAATAGTTTAATTGAATGAAAGTAAAATATAACACATCAAAATTTAAGAAGCTACTAATTTAGCTAATGTAGTGTTTTGAGGGGAATTTAAATACATATATTAGGGGGTACCTGGGTGGCGCAGTCGGTTAAGCGTCCGACTTCAGCCAGGTCACGATCTCGCGGTCCGGGAGTTCGAGCCCCGCGTCGGGCTCTGGGCTGATGGCTCAGAGCCTGGAGCCTGTTTCCGATTCTGTGTCTCCCTCTCTCTCTGCTCCTCCCCCATTCATGCTCTGTCTCTCTCTGTCCCAAAAATAAATAAACGTTGAAAAAAAATACATATATTAGAAAAGAAGAAAGGCTTCAAATCAATAACCTAAGCTTTCACTTTAAGAAATTAGGAAAAGTGAGCAAAACCCCAAATAAATAGAAAAATGTAAGTAATAAATATTAGAGTAGAAGTCCATGAATAAAAAAAATACAAGGACAATAGAGAGAAGCAATGGAAACAATTTATTTTTATTTTTTTAATGTTTATCTTTATTTTTGAGACAGAGAGAGACAGAGCATGAGCGGGGGAGAGGCAGAGAGAGAGACACGCACAGAATCCGAAGCAGGCTCCAGGCTCCGGGCTGTCAGCACAGCCTGACGCGGGGCTCGAATTCGTCAACTGGGAGATCATGACCTGAGCTGAAGTCGGATGCTGAACAAACTGAGCCACTTAGATGCCCCTGGAAACAATTTTTTTTTAATGATCAGGAAAGTTGACAAACATTTATGGAGACTGATGAAGGCAAAAAGAAGACGCAAATTACCAAAATCGGGATGAAATGGAGGATGTCACTACTAACCCTCCGGAAACTGAGAAGGGTTATAAGGGAATATTGTGAATAACTGTATGCCAATAACTTAGACAGCTTAGATGAGATAAACAAATTCCTAGAAAGTCACAAATTTCCAAAATTGACTCAGGAAGAAATAGAAAATTGGAACAGATCTATAACAAATAAAAAAATGAAATTAGTAATTAATAATCTTCCCGCACAGGCAAGCCCAGGCCAGAGAGTTTCACTGGTGAATTCTATCTAGTATGTACAGAAATAATAGCAGTTTTTCACAAAATCTTTCAGAAAGTAGAGGAAGGAATACTCCCGGTTCATTTTACGAGTATTACCAGTATTACCCTGATACCAAAGTCAAAGACATCAAAAGAAAACTGCAGACCAATAATAACCTCCATGAGCACAAATGTAATCATCATTATTAACACTATTTTAGCATACTGAATCCAGTAATATATACAATTAAGATAAAGTAGGATTTAGCCTAAGAATGCATAGTTGGGGTTAAGATCTGAAAATAAACCTAAAATACAAACAGCCCCTGATCATCTCAACGGATACAGAAAAAGCATCTGACAAAACATGACATCCATTCATGATTAAAAGCTCTTAAACTAAGAACCTAATTTTTTCAATCTGTGGATGTGGTGATGCTTGCTATATCTCTTAATTTACTATAATCATATAATTGTGTATTTACAGTAGGTAATTTTTTAAGTTTCTTTCTTTATTTAAGTAATCTCTGCACCCAATGTGGGGCTCAAACTCACAACCCCGAGATCAATAGTAGCACACTCCTCCGACTGAGCCAGCCAGGCGCCCCAACAGTAGGTAAATTTTATTACATGTAAATCATACCTCAGTATAGCTATTGTAAAAAATGAAAAAGTTCTAACATGTTTAATTCTTATCAGTAGAAACCACTATAGGCAAGAAGAGTATCTTTATTATGTTGTCTTTGGAACATAACTCATCAAGATTCTCAATCAATTTTTAGTAATTCATTCAATGAACTTTAAAAAGTTAACCATGTTCCATGGACTATACAATCTATAGCCTGGCACTCAAGTTGCTACATGTTCTTGCCACAATTTATTCTGTTTTATCCACTCTGTTTCCACCGAAGCAGCTTTTGGTATCCACTTTTTCATGTCTGTGCCTTTGCTCATGCTGTGCCCTTCATCCACGAGGTGGTACTTTTGACACTTATAGCTTTGTTCCTACACCAGGGTAGTTTGAAAGAGGGAAACTCATCATGTAAACAGGCCATTTTTTACTTGAGTAGTCACAAGCCAAAGAGTCCCTTTACTAGATGTAATTGGACAAGGGTAACTCACATTCATAGAATAAGTCTTTTCCTTTTCCTCAGCAAAAGTTGAATATGAAGGA